AACCATTGAGTGATTTCTTTCTAACCATAAAAATGCACTAATGCAGCCTAACTCTGGGATGAAAAATAGCTGCAGTGTAGAGGTTACAGGAGTGGGTTCACTCTGTGATGTTTAAAACACCTATACTCTTAACGATTTCTACATTTCACAGCACATACGTTAAATCCATAAATGCATTTCTATTTTCTCTCCGTCTCTCCCTCTCTTTCAAACACTAATACTAAGGAAATACCCCAACCCCACAAAATGACCCATGTCATCCACACCTATGAAAGCTTTCAGCCACATCTAATCGAGCACCTGACGCTACAATAGGTGTTTCTGAGTCCTGAGTCACCACACATCCTGTCCCTGCCACACAGTGGGAAGGAAGAGGGTCTGGAGCTGAAGATTCCAGGTGAGGGGAATGGGAGGTGCTTGGAGGTTATCAAAGCCAGAAGGGTGGGGAGCCTGGATTGATCTATAAAAGCCAAAGGTCAAAGACCTGTTACACAGGAGTGTGAAATGAGTCCCACTCGCTAAGCAAACCTCCCACAATTTCCCAAGGAGACTGTATGGCAAGGTGAGCAACAGAGAGAGAGAGAGAGAGAGAGAGAAGGAGGCTCTCTGAAGACCTGTTTTCTTGGTCAACAGAAGTTGTATCGTTGCTTGAACCAGCCTTGTCCCATATGTCCCATATGATCAAGGGGTTACAGAGCAAACAAAAAGAGGATTGCTCAAGCAAATATACATGGGTTTGGAAGATTCAATGCAATATATACGCATATATATGTATGCCATTTTATGCCAAAAATTACACATTAATTACCTGTGGAAATAGTGTATTTTAAGTATGCAAGCAAATATAATTACACCTACTTTTTTTTGTTTCTATTTTTACATTTTGAAAGGCAGCAAAGTCTGAGAGAGCTCCCATCCGCTGGCTCACTGTTCCAATGCTGTTACTACAGGGCTGGGTCAGACTCTGGGAACCAGGAACTCAACCCAGGTCTCCCACATGGTGGGCAATTTCTTCCTCTTAAGAAAAAAAAAAAAAAAAAAAAAAACTTCTTTGAAAATCTTTCTTGAAAATCTTTCTTTCTTAAGGATTTATTTATTTTTATTGGAAAGGCAGGTTTACAGAGAGGAGAGACAGAGAAGAAGATCTTCCATCCGCTGGTTCAATCCCCAAGTGGCCACAATGGCCGGAGCTGAACTGATCCAAAGCCAGAAGCTTCTTCCAGGTGTCCCACTTGAGTGTAGGGTCTCAAGGCTTTGGGCCGTCCTTGACTGCTTCCCCAGGCCACAAGCTGGGAGCTGGAAAAGGAAGTGGAGCAGCGGGGACACCAACTGGAGTCCATTCGGGATCCTGGCACATGCAATGCGAGAACTTTATCCACTAGGTTATCACACCAGCCCGCCTCCCCCACAATTTTTTTTTTTTTTTTTTTTTACTTATTTGCTTGTTTGTAAGGCAGAGTTCTAAAGAAGAGAAGAGTCAAGAAATCTTCAAGCTGCTGGTTCACTCCCTAGACGGCCACAAAGGCCAGAGATGGAGCCAGCAGTTTCAGGTCTCCCAGAGGGTGCAGGTGCCAAACACTTGGCACCCACTATTTTTCTCAGGCACATTAGCAGGCAAATTTCATGATCCATACAACACAATAAGAGCCAGCGATGTGGGCATTTAAAGTTCTCAGCATCCTGACTACCCTGGCAGGCCTCAAGCCTCTGAATTCATCAGCTTTAATCATTACCAAAAAGTAAGGCAAATGGTCATTTATTTCATTTCTGAATATCAGCAAAAGGTACACAAGAGTTGCGCTTTAGGGCCCGGCAGCGTGGCCTAGCGGCTAAAGTCCTCGCCTTGAACGAACTGGGATCCCATATGGACGCCGGTTCTAATCCTGGCAGCTGCACTTCCCATCCAGCTCCCTGCTTGTGGCCTGGGAAAGCAGTCGAGGACGGCCCAAAGCTTTGGGACCCTGCACCCACATGGGAGACCTGGAAGAAGTTCCTGGATCCTGGCTTCGGATCGGCACAGCATCGGCCGTTGCACTCACTTGGGGAATGAATCATCTTCCTCCCTGTCTCTGCCCCTCTCTGTATATCTGCCTTGCCAATAAAATAAATAAATCTTTAAAAAAAAAAAAAAGAGTTGCGCTTTAATGAATGCCACTACGCTTTTGATTAATCCACTCTAGATGCATTGCTTTTCAACTGATTTGTTCGACAGAGGGACTCTCATTCTGCTGGTTCATTCCCCAAATGCCCCTAATGGTCAGGGCTGGGACAGGAAAATGGGAACTCTAACCAGGTTTCCTATGTGGGTAGGAGGAAAGCAGGCAGACTCCGGCACCATGTGCTGGTGCTCCATGAGAGGGAAGAGGAAGGGCTGAACCACTGGGCTACACACGGAGCCCCGGATGCTTTGAAAAGTACCTTCCCGGGCTACGGCTACTTACTCACTGCGCAAAATTTCCTATACGCTTGATCTAAGTCATCTATGGAAAAACTTGCCAGGAAGACCTACTAAATATTTCCTAGGAAAATCACATTTAAATTTGAGCCCAGACACAACCACAGCAGTGTGTGTGTGTCTGTGTGTGAATGGAAAACTGTCAGGAAATTTTGCCATATAGCACTATAAAGCAACCTCATGCCTCAGGGAGTTTCTTATATAAAATGTATATAGTCACTCCAAAGTGAAACTTTGCACTCACAAAAAGGATACTCCGGTTTATGGGATGTCTCGCTTGATACAAGACAAAACCGAACCCCTACTGTATCCTTGTTTAAATACATAGGCATGCCATCTGGTGACAAAACAGTCCCCAAGGTAGAATTTCTCTGCAGTTCTGTGCAGGAGTTGCGACAGAGGGGAGGACCTCAAGCAGGAGCAAGTGTCTTGAGAAGGGCATGGGCGAACGGGCAGCAGCAACCTGCAAATGGCCCTCCTCCCAGACAGCTGTCCCTGTTAGACCAGCTGAGGCCTAAACGTGGGCAGACCCATATACACACACATAGATACTCCGGCTTGAGAACACCGCTCCAAGGCAAGGTTGTCTTCGCGACACCCCAGTCCGTGACAAGGCCTTCCCTCCTCTTGCTCTCACTGGCCTACAGGCAAGGCTTTCTCTCCCCTAAAGCTCCTTGCGTCCCAGGCAACAATGCCAAATGCCTTGAGGAGTGAGGCTGGGATAAAATTCACTGACAAGCTGCACCAAGTGTTTTCCAGAGGGAATCTACAAACTGACATTGACAGGGGAGAAACACTCAATGGGTTCTAAGCGAAGAGACTGACACTTAGACCAATTCAGGGTTTAATTCACGCCCCAAGCACCCCTTGTTCAAGAGACAGCCCTTTGGCACCAGGGGCTGACACCTGCATGACCCTAGAGGCGGAGCTGGGTTTCCGTGGAGGCACCCAGGGGAGTGGGCACACAGCACGGTCACAAACCAAGGCACGGTGTCGTTCCTGGGGTCCCTGCGTTGTGCCCACCATACGCTACTTCCTTATCAACCCCTGCCCAAGGAATCAGAGATAAACTGCCAATCGCAGCCCCTCCTCTGCAGGCTGACCCACCCACTGCCAGAGAACTGTGCAATCCAAACAGACATCGACTTGCCACTGATCCGGCACAGGCCGAGTGCTACGGCAAGGCACAACGGAAAACAAACTCCAGCCCTTGACCTTCATAACTCAAATCCAAGACAAGCCTGATTACTGCAACGGGAGCAAAGTGCACTCTTTACTCCCTCACTACTTGGCCACGAGCTCCCTTGGGTCTGTAAAGGTCAAGGTGCAGTTAACCCCACTGCTGACCAAGCTGACAAGCCTCCCACGGCCCTGCAACATTGGGCTCTAAAGGAAAAACCCTGACGTTGGAAATGACCCTCAAACAGGGCTGCAAATGATGGGGGGAGGAGGAGAATGGGGAGGCACTCAAGCCAACACCTCACATTTTTTAAAAAGAAGACTTTATTTATTTGTAAGCCAGCATCATACAAAGAGAGGGAGGGAGAGTTGGGTCTTCCATGCCTTCGGTTCGCTCCCCAGGAGGCTGCAATGGCCAGATGTAAGTCTGGGGCTTCATCCGGGTCTCCCACGCAGGTGGAGGGTCCCAAGGGTCTGGCCTGTCCTCTACTACTTTTCCAGGCACATTAACAGGGCGCCGGATGGGAAGTGGAGCAGCCAGGACTCGAACCGGTATCAGCTGGAGCTTACACGGCTAGGCCACAATACCAGCCCGAATATGGTGCTTTGAAATATCAATAGCAAGTAGTAACCGTTCAATAGATTGCTGCCATAGGTAATCAATGGAAAGCTCCGCAAAACCGTTCGTTTTGAAAAATGAAAATAGCGAAAGTTCTAAGAGTGGGGATGGAAGCAACCGAAGCCAGTCGAGAAATAGCAGAGAGCAAATCGTGACCTCCTGGCCGTATTCGCCGGCTCCAGCTTTTCCCGGTGTGGTCACAAACACCTGCAGGACTTCCTGGGAACCCCATGCCCAACAGACCCGCGACGTGCGGGTCCCCAGGGCGTGCACCTGTTTCCCTGCACGCTCCTAGTCCCCTCATCTCACCGCGAGCTGGGGAAACTGCTTAAGCTCCGTTTTCTTATTCGTAAACTGGGAATTAGGGCACAGTTCCTGAAGGCCGGATGTCACAATCCGCCTCGCTCCTACGTAATGCCGAGCATGTTCAAACGGCCTTGCTGGCAGCCCCAACATCATTCCACAGGTTCCACGAAAGCAGAGCCACTGCAGCTTGCACCAAGCGAAACAAGAAGCAACTTTGCAAGGAGCTTCCACCTGCAAAACCCACCGCTGATCCGCCAGACGCTGGCCCGGGGCCACGCCAGCTCTGCCTGTGTAGCAGGAACCCCAGGGGCGCAAGCGGGGAGGCCGAGAGACTCTGCTCCCACCGCGCTCAGGAACAAGATGGGCGCCCACCCACTCGCGGGGCACCGCGTCCTCGGCGACTCCCCGAGGCTCCGCGGGCAGCGGCTGGGAGCTCTTTACCTGCCAACGATCAGCACCTCGCTGCCCGCTGTGGACGCCATGGCGCGGCGTCAGGCTGGGCCCGGACACGGTACCGCGAGCGCGAAAACTAAGCGCGGAGCCGGGTGTCAGGCGCGCAGCTGCGCTGGGGCCGGCGGGGCTGGCGGGCACTAGGGACAGGGTGGAGGGCGTGCTCCTGGCCCATTGGCTCCGCGGGCGCCGGGGGTGGACCCGGGCCGCTGGAGAGGCGGGGCGCACGCTGGGCTGGGCGGATGCGCCCAGGGACACTCCCCGGCCGCGGGCTGCGTGGCAGAGCCCTTGAGCACAAACGCGAAAGCACGCCAGAAAAGCTACCCGAGAACTGCCACTGTGGAAGGTGCAGGCGCCCCTGCGCACCCCGCAAGCGCAGGCATGAACGACGCGCTGGGCTCACATCAGGGGTGCCGCCCGATTCCCGGGAGAACTGAGGCCTGGGACCTGCGGGGAGGAGGGGAGGCAGAGAAGCACACGTGCCGTGAGCACGCGCGCCCTACTTCCTCCTTCCCGAGGCTGACCAGACAGAGGAAATGAAGCGGGGCGCGGCCAGCCAGACCCAGAGCACGACGTGTAGGCGCGCGCTGGAGGGAAACGTGCCAGGTTGCCCGCTGCCCCCGGCCTAGCAAAAACTATGATGAACTGAGCTCTTCCTGTTGCGTGTATCCCCGTCAGAAACCGGGAAAGAGAAGGCTTAGAGGAAGGGGGTTAGACTTTGAAGGAAATGCCACAAATTGTCAGTAAACTTTAAATGCATCAACCCTTTTTTAAGGGAAATAAGATAAGTAACAGAAGAGTCACGCACTCTTCTCCCACCTCCCCAAGGCCTTTACATTTGTCAAAGCCCTTTATGCAAGTGAATGGAAAGAAAGAGTAACTTTTCTATTTTATCATTTATGTATGTCAGTGTCCTTTATAATGTCCATGGAAGAGGCTGGCAGGGGGTGCCGTCGGCTAATCCTCAGCCCAGTGGCGCCAGCGACGCATAGAGGCGCGATTCTTGTCCCAGGGGCTCCACTTCTGGGCCGGGTCCCTGCTGATGGCCTGGGAAAGCAGAGGGGGATGGCCCAAGGCCTCGGGGCGCTGCACCCACGTGGGAGATCCGGAGTAAGCTGACTGCTGGCTTCAGAGCGGCTGAAGTTTTGCAGCCGTTTTGGGAGTGAGCCAACGGATAGAAGAGATGTGTGTGTGTGTGTGTGTGTGTGTGTGTGTGTGCGCGCGCGCGCCTTCTCTTGAAATATGGCTTCAAATAAAAATAAAATGAATCTTTAGAAAAAAGAATCTCTAGTTGTATAGCAGCTACTTGGGTTAATGCGCTACAGCTGACCAATGCAGATCCTGAGATGTATCAGTGTTTGCTCAAGGAACTAGGATCCTGTAACATGGAGAAACAAAGAAGTTTATTTTGGTACAATTTTTTTAAAGCCCATAAACACGAGGACTCCCCCCCCCCAAAAAAAAGTCATTAAAATCTTATGAAAAACAATGCACAGCTCCAAAAGATTTCAAGCCACGTGAGTTTATCTCTTCATTCCATTTCGTAGTACTGAGAGAGGAGTTAGACTGGACAGTAGGCAGTTAGGGCACCCTGGGTCCCCAAGCCATCGTTTTTTCTCAAAGAGAAAGGGGTATTTTCCCCACCATGGCTTGGATTCACCAGAGCACTCTCTCCCGAGACAAGTGCATATTTTAACACGCTTCCCCAAGAGACAAGGGCGATATTAGCATATCAATTTCCCACCTGAAGCCTCAGCCCCATTCTGTCTCTGGCCATTGCCAAGGGGGAGGGCTTCAGACTGACCTCTTTATCATTAAAAAGGGACCAAGGGAGTTGGCCAGTGACACCTTTCTGGCCTTTCGTCCCAAGGCCAGGTACCATGGAAACCAGGAATTTTCTTTGTTTATGGAGAAACATCTTTCAGGGGAAGGTTTAAAAGATGCTTTTCCCCACCATTTTGCTTTTCCTCCTGGCACTATGGCAGGGGGTAAGGGTCCTTTCCATCTCAGAGCCCCCTCCTGTCACTAGGACGGGAGTCTCCTTTCTCAACTTTTCTAATAAATCTTGCTTTAAAACTAAGCTGTGTCCGCACGGAAATTCTTTCCTGAGAGACAAGAATTGAGGTTGCTGCCATATTCGGGGTCAAAAAGCCTACAAGAGTATTATGGGGTGGGAGGCAGTGAGAGACAGATAACTCTCAATTACTAGTTAACTTCCAAATGCCCAAAAAACGTTGCCATCCGGGACATAGGCCTTGCTGGAACCAAAAATTCACCCCAGGTCTCCCCTCTGGGTGGCAGGGACCCAATGACTTGAGCCACAGTGTCTGTCCAGGCTGCAGGTCGGCAGGATGCTGGAATCCGAGCAGAGCTGGGTGTCGTGGAGCCCGGGCACTACAGTGTGGGAAGCAGGCAGGCAGCTAGCTGGTGTCTTACATTCTTGCCCTGGCAGTGGACTAGAGAAGGCCCCTGCCTACTGTTGGGAGAGCAGCCGGCCGTGGGCTCTTGCTTTCCCTGCTCACTTGCTCCCTCGGAGTAGACAAGACTAGAAGGCATCTGTCTCCTGGTGTAGCACTGGCAGGCTGCTACAGTTTCTACTCAGCTCCTTCCCTCTCCCCTCCTCCCCTCTGCCCCTCAGCCCCTCCTTCTCTCCACCCCTCACCCCCACAACATTGTTTTCCTTGGACAACTGTTGGCTTAAAAAGTCAACGCTTCCTCCTGAGGCTCCCTGGCAACAATTGGACAGGTGCTATATGCTTGTAGGCATCCGGCCGAAGCTCTCACTCTCCATCATAATCTCATTTCTATGCAGACACTCCAACCAATGCCAAGACAGTGGACTAGCACCACATCAATCACCGGGGAACCAATAAAAGCACAAAATGGCAGGCACCCATGGCACAGCATAGGCTAAACTTCCACGTGCAGCACCTGCATCCCATCTGGGAATCCCCCCAACTGAACCGCTGGACTCAGAACCCCAACCATGGAGAAAATTGCAGGTTCCATGGTCTGACCGTGGAATGCATGTGTCACAGCTGGGCCGCCTCAGTGGCTTAGAAGAAGCGGTGGACAGCATACCCAGATGCACATGGAGGATATGACAGTGTACTGGAACCTGCGAAGGCCACCTGATAAAAAAACAGAGGAGGGAGGACAGAACAAATCGGTCAACTACCCCAGCAAAACGTTGGCAGTGAACACCTGGGCAAACGGAAACTCTAAGGGGAGAGATTTCATCATGATTAGAGTGGCAAGATCGGCAACAATACAGAACTATTGAATTGTCAAAAACACTTGAGCAGTGCCCTCGGAGCCTGCCCCACACTGGGACCCTGGGATGGTTGGGAGGCTGGGTGTGGCTTCTCCCCTTCTCTCTTCCCTTCCCCCAGATACAGGAATAAAAAAAAAAAGAGAATGTTAAACAATTATCTCACCCATTTTCCTCTAGCCCTTGACCCTTCACACCCTAATCAAATATGTAAAAATTATCAAAAACTAAAATTGAGACCATTTTTTTTTAAATAAAAATTAATAAAATAAAATCAAGTGACAGAGAGGTGGCCAAAATTCCCCGACCAACCCCCCTTTCGGTTTCCTTTCAATCATCATGACAGTGAAGTTCACGTCCCTTATGCCCTGAAGTCCTCAACAAGTACCTGAAGTAGCCTGATGATAACCCTGTGTTTAAAACCAAGCACCATGCTCACGCTCAGCTCCTCTTAGGCAGCTAGTACAAGGTCAGGAGCTTGGAAGCCGTGCCTTCCCCACCCACCAACATAATCCTTTCTGGCCACCGGAGAGTCAAATGACCTATTATCACCGGTAACCTGAGAGGGGCAGTATTACAGCATTGTATAACTGTTACCCCCCGCAAAGCTCCCATAAAGGTCCTGATAAGGAGGGGCTCGCTCTCCTGTTGTGGTGCTTCTGTGCTCTGGCACTCCCCAGTCCCTGCTTGCTGTCTGGCTTCCGCTGGACCGACCCTGAGGACAGGTGTCCCCTGAGCAGGGCCCCTGTGTGTCTGTATTCCTCACCCTCTGTTCACTGCTTGGGTGTGTCAGCGAAGACAGCAGTGCTAAGCTGCTTTGTGTTTCTAATGTGTGTGCTGTTGGAAGTCTGGGAGAGCTGAGGTCCAGCGCAATGCAATGTGGACAGAAAAGCCAGGGAAACGTGAGGTCTGCATCTGGGTTGGTGTGTCCGGGTTCTTTGCTTCAGGTCTCTTAGGGTAACTTACATTGCTGGGCAAGCTGGAGTATCGCTCTTCAGTTTAACGGGCACATTTCACAACGACTGTTTATGCCTCTCAGGGTTTTGATTCAGACTGGATTGCCACGTGACTTGTCGTTTTCTAATTTTTTAGTGGGCCCTGCCATCACCAAACTTGGTTCATTAAAAACTCCTTAATACATCCTAGACTTGTCTGGCATGATCTCTCTCGCACCCTATAACATCTCTTGCTCCATTTTATGGAATGCAATATTGCTCAATTCTAGACTGGAAAATAAATCTGGTTAATATCTTTAACGTAAATTTGTATTTGGCACACACATCAACATGTAACATGTACATATCGTTTGACTTAACAACTCTGCTTCTAGAGATCTATTGTGCAGAAGCAATCAAAAGGATATAAAGATAGAAAATTTTTTAAAGATTTATTTATGCTTAATGCATTGAAAAGGCAGTGTTGGAAGGAGAGACACAGGGATTGCTCCTTCTCCAGGTTACTCCCCAATGCTCACGCTAGCGAAGGCTGGACCAGGCAGAAGCCAGGAGTCTAGAACTCTGTATCTCAAGTGACTAGCAGAAACCCGATGACTTGGGTTATGATCTGTTGCCCCCCAGGTGCACTAGCAGCAAGTTGGCTTGAAAGCAGAGACACATCTCCAGTGTGATATGCCGGCATTAACCCACCGTGCCACAGCCTTGTTCCCCTCTGCGAGACTTTCAGAGCAAAAATACCGTACCCATGATGAAGGAAGGAATTTTTTTTTTTAATTTATTTGTTCCAGAGACAGAGAGATCTTCCAGCCACTAGTTGACCTCCACAAAGCCTCTGACAGTCAGAGCTCCGTGAGGCCTGAGCTCTGTCTACAGCAGAGTCCCAAGCACTGG